TGAGTGATGTGGGAGGGCCCAGCCCACTGTGGGTGGTGCCACCCCTGGGCAGGTGGGCCTGTGTTACATAAGAAAGCAGGCTGAGCAGGGGCCAGGGGAGCAAGCCAGGAAGCAGCATTCCTCCATGGCCTGTGCTCCAGCTCCTGCTTCCAGGTTCCTGCCCTGAGTTCCTACCTTGGGCTCCCTGATGAACTGTGATCTGGGAGATGTAAGCTAAATAAACCCTTTCCTCCCCAAGTTGGTATTGGTCAGAGTATTTTGTCACAGCAATGAAGAAACAAACTAGGACAGCGTGTGTTTGTTTTTTGGTACTAGGTTTCATATAATTCAGGCTGGCTTGGAACTCACTAGATAGTTGAAGATGATCATGAACTTCTGATCTTCCTGCCTCTTCCCCTCCAAGTGCTAGGATTCCCAGTGTGTACCACCATGGTTGGGTACAGGTACAGTAAAATTGTCTTAAAGTGTACAATACTGTTGAGGGTCAGTTTTACTAGTGTGACTTAGAAACACAAATATAATGAAACAAATTAATGGTTAAAATTGTAATAAGGGTGCATAGGGTTAACTTTTTTGATATTAAACCTTAAAGAGTATAACTTTGAAAGCATAAAAGATACAATTGTTAGAAATATTGCTATTGCCACATTAAAAATCTAGCATTCAGAAATAGTAATTGTAACATGAAATTGCTAGGTCAAAGGACATTGACATTTAAAATCGGGACAGCAATTGGAACATTGTCTTTGAGTGCACACTGTCCAACCTCAGAGGAGAACGTGTTCCCATGTGCCCTCCCTACGTGACCACTGTCCCAGCTCTGCTCTTTGCCAGTCTGGTATGTTAACATTTTAGTTCATAGTCATTTTAATCCACATTCCCTGTAATATGAATAAAGTTGAACTCATTTCTTGGAAAAGAACAGAGGCTAGGGAGAGGACTCAGTGAGTGAAGTGCTTCCTGTGCACTCACGAAGACCTGAGTTTAAATCCCAAGAATCCACATAAAATCTGGATCTGGTAGTACAGACCTGTACTTACAGTGCTGCTATGTGGGGACTGGAGGTGGAGACAGGAGGGTTCCCCACAAGTTTGTGGGCCAGCTCCCTGCAGGGAACAGCAAAGGCATCCAGTCTTAAGGCAGAAGGGGAGAATTGACACCCGAGGTCTACTGACCTCCACGTGCGTGTCATGGTACACACACACACATTCACATTCACACACACATCATACACATTCATATAAAATCAAAAACAATTATATGGTACTTGGACTGTAGTCATTAAGATGCAACATTAAAGAAGTAACAAAGATTGAAGAACCAGGGCTATCAGTAATATTTTAATGAATCAGAATACTCATCCCAATATTAAAAGTACACTGGTAGATTCACCAAGCAATTAAACGGTCAATTAACTTTCATTTGTCGCAATTAAATGAAATTTAAATGAGTGGGTTTCTTGGTTGGTACTGGTATTTAGTGGGTCAATTTGTTGCTGAACAGAACATGGAAGCCACATTTTCTTAAACACGAGTGGTTTATATTAACTTCATGAACTCAGATAGTTACCTGATGTCCCTGTTCAGATATGCCACCAACACAGAAGGCTTGGGGAGGCTATGGGGAGCTCAGACTCGGTAGGGGCTGAAATGCTTGTATTCTTAGCTTCCTGGTTGTACTAAAAGACTTTTCTCAAGTCATTTGAGGCTCTGTTTGCTTTGCTTTATTGCACACAGGGTCTTTCTAGGTAGCCTTCAACTCCTAACCCTCTTACATCAACCTCCTCAACGTTGGGATTCTAGGCGTGAATGACAACACCGGCTCACATATCCGTCTTTAGTTTTAGAAATGTGTTGTCTCATTTAAGGGGAAAAGCAGGACAGGCAGAGGTTTGGGATACTGTAGAGGCTCAGTTTTTATATGGGAGGGTAGAGGCAGTCTCATTTAAGGGTGTGACTCTTAGTAGAGTGTCCAGGCTCCAGTAGATGGATCCACATGCAGAAGCATTTGGGGACACAGATTTATTTGGCTACAGGTCAAATATATAGGGGAAGGTATATAAATATGGTCAAAATATGCATTTTGTTTGAAATTTGAAAGAATTCTATTTAAAAAAGAGCCTTTGAGTCATAATATAGATAGATGATAGATTGATAGATAGATGATAGGTAGGTAGGTAGATAGATGATAGATAGATGATAGATTGATAGATAGATGATAGGTAGGTAGATAGATAGATGATAGATAGATAGATAGATAGATAGATGATAGATGATAGATA